AGGGAGGGGGGAGAAGAGGCGAGGAGGCAACGTAGAGTTTGTCAAACAGAAACAGGCTGAATCTAAAGAAGTGTTTAACAGAGACGCTGAGGTCCACTGAGAGGAGCAGCAGCTGTCACCGGCTGTCACCTCCCTCCCTCTGCTACTCTTTCTCAGTTTCCCTCCCAGTGTGCTCATATTCCTTCCTTTTCTTCCTTTTATGTGGTGTTTAGTTTCTTTCCTCATTTTAATTTTTCTAAAAGCCCATCTTCATAAGTAACATGTAAACTCTGAACGTGCGAAACATCAAGAAGAAGGTTTGATACAGAAATGTGGACTCTTTCTTTGTCTCATTTCCATCGTCTGTTCTTTCTCTCCTGGTCTTCTGATTCAGTCATTTTTCCCTCTTCTTTGTTCTGATGATTTGTTTCTCTGTTTATTTTTCTATCTTCTCACTTCTCTCTCTCTCTTTCGGTGAGTCCATCTAATTCACGTTAAGCTTGAGAGGCTCTCTGTCCACAGAAAGTCGACAGCCTGGAGCCAGGAAATGCTCGCTCTGCCCTGCCTTCAAATCTCTGTCTGTGGCCATCAAGCTTTAATAGAATCAACATCGAGTTACCCGAAGCAACGGTTCACTCTGCAAAGTGCTGATCATCAGAGTAATACAAGTCTGTTTGCCCCAATTGTTTAAAGGTAGTTTATCATGTGCACTATATAAGAAATCGATAACTCCTGAGTATCAATCACACACATCAGCTCCAGTTTCTCCCCAAAGAATCACAAACAGGTCCGTCAGAATCTTGCTGTACCTGTTAACAGCTGACCGTTGATCCTCCAGGTGATGCTGGGCCTCGGGATGCCGTCAGCCTGACAGTCCAGTCGGACTGTTTCCCCGGGAGTGTACATCAGGTTCTGAGGCTCCTTCATCCAGTAAGGAGCCGCTGGGAAACGAAGAAAAGCAGCATTTAAACCCTAAAATATAAACCTTTGGCTCTAACTCTGAACAGGCTTCAGGACCTGTTGATGTTAATTAGTGAAGTGCTCCTTTAAAGTTGTGAACATGTATGCATGTTCTTTAGTAAAGACTCCTCACAATCATCGTTAGAGTTCAAACTAACACAGAGGTCACGTCCTCGCGGTCAGCAGAGCATCGTGATCGTCTGTGCGCTCGGCTCAGCGGCCTACCTTCCACAGTGACCGTGAAGGAGCGCGTGATGAAGCCGTGGGTGTTGGAGGCTTTGCATTCGTACTCGCCGTCGTCCTCCAGGGAGACGTCGTCGAAGTGGAGCCAGCGGTCAAAGTTAATAACTTGGCCGGTTGTGTCTGCCAGGACACCATCCTTCTTCTTCCATTCCACCCTAGGTGTGGGTCTGCAGAGACGGAAGAACAGGATGTGACTGTGAGAGAGAACCGATCATGGAAGCGAGGCGATGAACAGAAGATCGATCACAGGAGGAAATTAGAGCTGAATGCATGCAGATGATCTTGGTAATGATGTAACATCCTTTTTCATCATTAAGTCAAAATTATAATGAGAGTCCATTTGTTGCCGTAGACAGGAAGCAGGATGATTAG